TTTCTAACAGGGACCGTATGTCTTCCCACGTGGAAGGGTTTCGGCTGTTCACAAGTTCGGCGGCACGTCCGCGAAGTTTGTTTTTAATATGTAAAACGACGAGAAGCCGTTGCTCCTCGACGGCCATTTGATATGCCGTTCGGCACGCGTTGATGAAGGTCGATAGCAATATCGGGTTTCCATCGTACTCGGGTACAATCGAAAATATTTCAGATAATCTATAAGGTTCAATGTTCGCATGAACGTTATCAGGAATTTCAGCTGGTTGGTAATTATCTGAACCGTTAGTAGACATTTTAAATGGAAAGTTGTTTCAAAAAGATTCAATAATGTCAAGGGAAAATGCAAAAAGATATAAATGTAAAATAGAAAATACGTAAAAATGGGGAAAAATACGTGAAAATCGACAATATTTAGAGTAAATGCGCAAAAATGCAAATAAAAAGATGTAACAATCACACACACAGAGATAAATCGCAAAAAATAGTTAGATTAAAATTGTACGTTACCAAGGGTACATCGGGAGGCAGTCGTGTTCTCCAGGCGGCTAGTGGATCTCTTGCGATCTTTCCAGTAGTCTGTCTGCAGTTGGGTGGCTGCTACTCGCTGTGTCCCCTGTTGTTTTCCTTTTTCTTGTTGCTTTGTAGTTTCTTACTTGTAGTTTTCTTTCTTCAATAGCTTTCTTTCTTCTTAAGGCTCGTTGGTCCTTTTCAGCTTAAAGGATAGGCATCCACCACACTAGTTAGTATGCACGTGTTCTAATGCGTTGAAGCTATCCCACTTCTCTGACACCAATTTCTTAAATCATTAGATTTAGAAATAACTTTTTAAAAAATTTATTTGAGGACTGAACCTTCAGTCCATATAAAATACAAAGGTTTACAAATGTGACATTTACGGAGTCTAACCGGGTATTGAACGACATGAAATGGGCGCAAGGACTATTTATACTATTGGTGTACTTACAAAGCACTTCTAGAAAATAAAGCGTAAACAACGAGTTAGCGAGAAGTCGTTATCTGTTGCTGAGCTAGCGTCTGGTGCAACATTGTATGGAATAGTAAGTCCATTGTTTTGAGTGCATATCTCATATATATATATGATGCCCAAACATATTTTGTGCTTGTACGATTCGCTTAGAAGTAATGGAAGTAGATTACATATTTCATCAGAAAAAAATTCTTTATTCTTAAAAACATGACATCAACCTTCTAAGTAGAGGCAACTCCTTAACGTCCCCAATGATTACTCCTAACATTTTGCATTCTTAGAATTTCTCAACGACCTAAAAGGAAATCCCATAACCTGCGGCAACGGTCCGAGAGGTTGCAAAGGCAATATTATCTCAAAATTCCCTAGTTTGACTGGACTATGGGATTTTCTGGCATTGAATCGAGAATGGACAGCTCGACATTGATTGGTCGATTTAAACGGCTTCCATACAAGAGACTGGGTGGACATCCAGATACCAGGTTTCTTAGTACCCTCACGAGCTGTGCTCAGGTGTTCATGTGCTCAACTTTATTTCCTTAGACTAACACATAGCAGGATGCTAAACAAGGTAATTCCTTGCATTCGGGGATATACCTGAGAGGGGGATTTTGTATTCTGCCTGAGGCGATTCTAATTAGGATATAGGATCTCGTTTTTCAGCCAAGGGGCTACGGGCCCGCCATTTTGTCAAGGCCTAGTTGTACAGCAGAGAGTTGGCTTGGCTTTTAACACAGCTAAGATAACAATCAGCTATGGAACTCTCCTGTCACTGTCAAAAACGACCAACATTTCGGCGGCGAAAGTCGATTGTAAATTCCCCCAGTACAACGACGACAGAGGCTTTAGTACTCAGCAGCGGCCACGTATCATGCCAGCGGTCCCAGATATTCTTTGCAATCGACAAAATCACACTATTCCGATCTGATGTGGTATAGATTGTGTGAATCAATAATAAAAAGGAATTTGTGTGTTCAAAAAGATTCGACGACGTATTTTTGACTATTTATTTATAAAAAAGTTTTAAAAGTTCGTATTGGTTGAAGTATTTACAAAAAAGAGAAAAACATTTACTTTTAATATGCATTCTCTGCTGCTGCGATATTCTCAATCCATTCCATTTTCAATGTAAATACTGTTAAAACACCGCAATCAGACTTGACACTTCTGACGACTCCTCAACTAGGATGCCCCTACATACACAGTGAATTCTTAATGCGTAAACGGTCGGTAGTTCCGATATTTTAAATACCTCAAAAAGTTGAAAAATATGCCGCAAAGACACTGAAATTATGTGACTGACTGACGGTAGTATTTGTCTGGAGTTTTTAGCACTCTCACATTGAAAATGCAATTGTATTGATTATATGGCAGCAGCATAGAATACATAGCAAAAGTAAATATTTTTCCATTTCTTGTAAATACTTTCACCTTAAGAAATTAATTTTAGAAGCTTTTTCATAAATAAATAATCATTGGTCGCTGCTTTTTGGGCCAACATACTCCTTTTTATTATCTACACAAACACACAAACCTCACTAGATCATGTCGAAATAAGGGCCGTATCGTCAGTCGTTCCTAAAATTGTAGGACGCCTTAATGGTCTCCCTGATTTTCATAGTTTCCTATTCCGTGTCAGCGTTCTATTTTGAGGTCACAAATATTTCCATTTGCATCAAATTGTTCGTGCTTTTGATTTATATCAGCTGTTTTATCAGCCTGAAATTTCCTGCAATTCAAAAAGAAAACATTCACAATAGGAGAGCGCTGACGCTAACACGGACTAGTAGAAATCTAGAAATACTCCAGCCTTTTTGAAGGAGAGAAAAGACTATGAAAATCAAGGAGGTCATAGAGGCGTCCTGCAATTGTATGAACGACTGAACGTAAGGCACTTTAACCTCTTTCATCATTGTACTAGGGGAATTCTCATGCGAGTTTCTCCTTCCAAATGGCGGTCATTTTTGACACTGACAGGATAGTTTCATAGCTGATTGTTATTTAAGCTGTGCTTTTACTAAGGCCGAAAACATAGTGGAGCGTCGAGCTAGGAGTCAAGCGGCGATTCAAGCGCTTCACAATCGTATAGTGGAGCGTCGAGCTCCGATGCCAAACTGCTATAGTATCAAAAATGTTGTCGGACAGTGAAGACGAGTTTTTGTTTGAAAACAGTGTATTGAAAATGTTACAATTATCAGGCACAACTAGGAATTATGAGGTACATCCGGTGAATAAGGAACGACACAGATTGGGTGAATACCACCACTTATTTCCCCAACTGAAGAAATATCCAGACCGTTTTTTTCAATACATTCGAATGGATTACACTACTTTTAAATACATTCTGAATCTCTTAAGTCCTCATATGGCAACGAAATACACTAATTTCGTTCAACAACCAATAGAACCTGCAGAGAAGCTAGTGATAACATTAAGGTAAGAAACCATTTTTAAACAAACAAAACTTCAGTTTACAGCACTTGAAGTAATGCAAAAACTTGATTAGGGCCAAGTCAAGTTTGATTATGGTAGAGTGTAGTATAGTATGGAATAAGAGAAAGGTTAAGCCAAAAATCAATTTTGGTGCAAAAAAGTAGTACAAATGAATTAAGCAAAAATTTTAGGATTGTTATTTGTGATGTAGATAATTCAACCTCAAAAATAAACCAATATCACAGTTAATATTTCATGCACATGCGCACATCCAAACACATATGCCTACTGTACATTTGTATATTCGTTGGATAAATATTCAGGTATTAGCTGGTTTATCTAATCCACTTTACAATATTTAATGAGCAACATTGTGTTGAGATAAATAAGGGTTATTTAACACTAGTTTCATTTTAGTTGCAGAAAGTTTGAGAAAATAATTGGTCATTCGAGTTTAATTTATATAAAAGTATTTATTACTAGACTTTTCAAACATTACAAGTAGCTTTAGCATCTATGAAAACATCTGTTTTATGGAGAATAATTATCAGTGGGTTTCCAAGAATCCAAATCCAAGACACAACTACTCTCCTCTTCTATTGGTAACGACGTAGAAGTTTCAGAGTGATACACAGATCGACTTACAGATGATTGAGCATGGAGATTGGTGCCAACAGATGATACAGAATGCTGATTTGTGTTAGTTGGATACGCATATTGTATTACTAAATTGTGAACTTCAATTCTAAAACGTAATTTATCCACACCACTAATACGTTTTATGTGGGGAAGAAGGATTGCAAAAAATTGCATATCTTCATCGGGTTTTTTGATAGCTGCAAACCTACTTGCTCGTTTTTCTTCTAGTATAGCCAATTTTTTTTCTTCAATTTGGACTAACTTTTTCAAATTGTCGTTTTTTATAGCACTTTTCTTGAAGATGTTGGGATGAACTAAGTCCTCATTTATATTTCTATCAGTACTGGCTGACCGGGAAGTGTTACTTGAATCACCATGCGCAATAATAACCTCTGTATCGTCTGGTGGCTGATTAGGTACATAGGATTCCTCAATTTGACTATTTTCTAAATCAAAATTTTCGTCGCCTGCAATAGGAATGCCTTCAGTATCAGCTGCTGAATCCATACATGTGTTAGATTTGATTTTCTTTTTTAAGTTTCCTGAAGTAGGTCTCGTCTTGAACTGAGTTCTTAAAAAATCCAACAACATAAAATAGGGCCAATTAGACTTGTAAATGGTGTCAGCACTGGATCCCGATCGCTCCTCTTGCATTTTACGAATTTCTTTTCTGTAGTAGTCTCTCAGGGACTTCCACTTCTGTTGTGCATCTTTCACTAAAACATGAAAATTGTATTACAATGCGTATACGGAATATATCATTACATGTGTAAGAAAAACATGAAAACTTCGTTAGATCTACTAAACCATCATGATTCCTACTTTGTCTGATATTTGGCCTTTATTTTAATAGTCTACGTTTCATAATTTTGTAGATCTAAACAATGTTCCGTAACTTTGTTACACATTGTCTGAAACCTATTTATATTAGGAAAAGTGTACAAATGACAAATCATCGCCTTTTTCTGTATTTTATCTAAGAGTTACAAACATTTTTTTATTTAAAAAATTGCGGAATTTTTTTTGTATATTGCTATTTTTTAATAAAATCAGTTCTTGTTAAATTATTAATCCTAGCAACTTTTTAAGTCCATGGCCTTTTCGATATTAATTTCAGGTTTGATTCTCCAGGTACTTTGCAACAGGAGCTTCATTCAGAAGCATGTCCTTTGCCTTTAGAGTTGGGGCGTCAACAGTCAGCAAGATTGTAAGAGAAACAGCTTGTATAATGTGGGATGTATTGCAGCCTATACACATGCCTACTCCAACAAAAGAAACCTTCGTCCAGGCAAGCTCTGAGTTTCAAGAGTTATGGAACTTTCCCAATTGTATAGGCTGCATATATGGCAAGCACGTGCGTATAATGTGCCCACCACACTCAGGTACATTGTTTTTCAACTACAAAAAATACTATTCGATAGTTTTACTAGCAATATGTGATGCCAAATACAGATTCCTTGTCATCGATGTTGGAGGATTTGGGAAGCAGAGTGACGGAGCTACATTCAATTCATCTGAGTTTTACCACTTGTTAAAGAGCAAAAAAATCTATATCCCGGCTAATGCTTGTTTGCCTGGAACTGATGTAAACATGCCTTTTGTTTTTCTAGCCGATGAGGCATTCCCCTTATCAGCGCATGTACTCACACCTTATAGCTCAGAAAATCTAAATGTAGAAAAATGCATTTTTAATAAAAGACACTCCAGGGTTCGTAAAAGTATTGAATGCACGTTTGGCATTCTCAACTCGAACTGGCGATTACTGTCAAAATGTATTGAAACAAGTCATGAGACAGCGGATTATTTAATTAAGGCTGTTTGTATTCTACAAAACACCATAATTGATAAGGAGGGCTTTGAGAGACATCTGACAGAAGTCGAAACTGATCAACCAAAGAACATTCAAGTTCCAAGAAGACCACGACAAAGAGGTCGCCAGTCATCTGACGCTCTTCATATTCGGAACACTTTTACAATTTATTTTAAAGAAAATCCTATCCATTTTCCAAACTATTAGATACAATTGTGTCTTTTATATTATTACTTGTAGCAGTTATTAAGGGGAAATGAGTTAATGCATAATGCACTGAAATAAAATGAAGTATTTACAAAATAAAAGGCAATTGATTCTGTTATATTTGTAACATGCTTAATAAAACAATCGATTAGATACGTACCTGAACAGTTATTTTCCTGTCCCACCTCCTTCCACAGCTTGTCAAGGACATATCTATTGTGGTGGTCAGCCAGTTGCTGGTTCCAAATGGACTCACGAGCCCGTATTGACAAAATAAAAGATTCTACGTCCATTTTTTAGGTTATGTACCACGCACTATCAATTATGAAACTCTGGAGTCAACGCTTCAAAAGAAATCGTTGGTGAATTCCCGAGCAGCGAGTCAAGATTAATGTCGATGCTGAAGCGCTGCTAGCCGCGTTACTATGTGCTGGTCAACGTAACTATACGGCGGATTTAATGAAGCGCTGCTATGTTTTCGGCCTAAGGGAAGTAGGAGGTAGCAGCAGGGCACCTTATAGATGTTCAATCCTGCATGGTCGACAGAAGGTGCCGTAGTTACAGAAGGGCAGGGGTCACCGTCAGAGTCATCTCAGACTATTCAAAACGGACTCTCAAGTTGAGTTTCCGGAGCTATTATTAATAATTGGTGCATTTAATTTAGTGGTCATATTTTAATCCTAGGTGGCGATTCGGTACTCAGGTTTAATGATAGTTTGGGCGTTTGTGCTTTACGTTTGTATTATATAATTAAATATATCATAATTCTCCATTTGTGAATTTTTACGGAATTTATTTTATTTTTTTTTTACGAAAAGAATTCTGCATTTTCTTAACCAACAAATAACCCCTTGGATAAGAGACGGGGGGTTGTATTTAGCCTCCCTCTATCCATTACAAGGTGGCAACGTTAGCACTTACACGAGGTCAATTTTATCAATCTTTCTGGAATATCTTCATTACTGGACTTAAGTAATCTGAATTTCAAGAAATCAGATTATTTGAAAGTAATATGCTATTAAACTATTGTGCTTGAAAATAGCAAACCAGGTACCTGTTCCATTAATTTAGTTTATGTAGAAAAGGAATAAGTATTCAAAACAATCAAACATGTTGATAAAAAGCTGCCGTTGATCATGGTTCCACAGACAGAGGAAAACATGCCTATTTCAGTCAATAAGCAAACGGTTTAAATTGCAGCAGGTAAACTCATTTTGATAGTTCATTAATTTTAAATAAATTGGTGCTCTGAATCTTAGTGGACAGTTGAGTAAAATTAATTAAACAATTGTGTTATGATTCAATTAAACTAGTTTCATAGATTCAAACAACTTTTTAGAAATGGTAGCTTTCTGAGGCTAAATATTTCTGTTAGTTGTCGCATAGTTGATTATCCTTTTTAATTGGATCAAAACTTCTAATTGGTTCTTTTAAACTTTTTTCTCAGTGTAGTAAACACGTATATAGTGCTGATCAAAATCGTTTTCTTTTTTAGGTTTCCATGTGTACGAAAGGGATAGGGAGATAAAGAGAAAGTGAGATAGAAAGAGTGCTCCATATTAGCGTTGAAACCACTTTGCCTAGCAACAACGGTGGGGAAGGACGCGGAATGTGGCTGTGCTCCTCCCCCACCGTCGTTGCCAGGCAAGGTGGTGACCACGCTTATATGACGCACTGTGTCTAAACGTTTCACTCGCTTCTCTTTCTCGTATACATGGAAGTCTAAAAGGGGAAACGACTTTGGCCAGCTCTGCATATTTGTAAGTACACGTGGTTGACAGTGCTTCGAGCGCCGGTAAAACTTTAAATTGGATCTGGTATCTTCTGGTCGTTTAATTAATGGTTTACCTTAGTCCCCACGGCAATGCCTCAATAGGCCATAAGACCCCGCTGATCATCAAAGTGGGGTAGAAGCTACCCAACGCCAACTGAGCAGCGTCTCTTTCCTGAGTGCAAACAGCAGAGATAAGAAAACCGAAACTCATTCCGCACAATCCTTGGAGCAAGGTCAAGGCCACGACGAGTGTCAGATTGCCGATGCACTTTAGTTGGAAGATGGCGAACATTACGATCAGAACCAGGACTGTTTGTCCCAGCATGATTATGAATTGGGTCAGAACGTGACAGACGAGGATTTCAGCTGGACCAATACCTGTTTGGGAAAGAATAAAGTATTAGTTATCATTCATTTGAACTTAAAATTAATTACCGATCAAAGTTTTTTGACGCACATAAGAAATAACTCCAACTGTTCAACTTCTCAAACAGAATCAATATCGTTTTAAGAAAACGCCCTTATTTTTACATAATGGTTACGTTTATTATCACATTTCTACGTGGTAAATCTGAAATTTTCCTGACAGCATTCTGTAACATACTGTACCAGGTGTGTCGTATTCGACCCTCATCAACAAAATGCCGCTTAGAAAGCTTCGAAATTCAAAGTACTTCGAGAGGGACGAAAAAAGCCAAATTTTCCGAATATCATTTTAATTTTTTCCAGACTTATGGGGTATTGGGATTTTAAAATAAATTAGACATTAGCTTTGTCACTGTTCTTCCTTTATAAGAAGGCGTAATTAAAATTGCAATATGATGACTTGTCTCTTGCCCTACAATATCAACTTTATTTTTTCTTATAAATAGACGCCATGTTGGATCTTTGCACAGACAAATAGAGTTTTCAATTCATAGTAATACAGTTTGGAAGACTGAGAAGAAGAGAAATGAACGGACCAGTGAACAATGTACAGAGGAGGTATGCTTTGCCTACAAAATAACGGACATCAGTTTGAACATCTGCTATGATTTACCTCGGTTTATTTATGATTATTGTTGTTATTTACATCAATGAAATTTCCATTTTGTATGTCTAACCATACCTTTTTATGTACTTACGATTTTCCTTCCAAGAACAAACTTTTGGCCAGCTAAGGAAATACAACACTGAATTTAGGAACGAAACGTCATATTGAAATTCTAATTATGCCATCTTGTAGAAGAGAAAAAGTAGCAATGCTAAACGTAAAATTATTTTTGAAATCCCACTATAAATAAGTTCCGGGAAAAATTAAAACGATTTTGTGAAAATTCGGTTTTTCCGTCTCTCTCCGGAAGCACTTTGAATTTCGAAACTCTCTAAGCGGCATTGTCTAAACTACCTAAATACGCAACTTTGCCCCCATTCACGCGATTTCGTATCTTCTACAGTTTCCGAGATCCCAATAAGGGTCGAATTTGAAACACCAGGTATATTCCAATGATTTACCTGCAACATATGATCTGTCCAAGAGTCCTTCCTGCTTCTCTGTTATCAGTACCGATGACGTCACTGCTACAGCCAGAAAGAAGACGATTCTACAAAGAAATTGAACATAATTTAAATAAAAATTACGAAACTTTTCTCAAGCAACGTAGGACATGGTAATATTGGCTCGACGCTGCCCGTCTAACAATGTTTCTATTCTACTCGTCGTTGCTTCTCAAGGCGGTCCGGATGACCTCAGCCTTTATGTCATAGTCATGTCTGTCAGGTCTGGTGGCCCAGAAATCAGACAAGTTGTAGTCCAGCAATGTGTGCTTTGGTATAATTGTAACATAACCTGCTATAACAGTCCGGAAGGTGGCAAACCGCAATTGAAAACCGAAATTAGCACATTCCTACAGCAATAAAGTAATTATTGATTTGATGTAAGTTTACTGTGAGCGTCTTCAAGATCCTATTGATACTCCGCGAGTGTATTAATGTATTCAGAACGTGCCGTCGTCCTCGATATTTCCATCCGAGCTGCGTAGGTTGGTTTATAACGTACAGAACCTGTCTGAGTGAAGACAGTAGAATGAAGACCTAGACAGCCCCGAATGTGCAAAGGAAAAGGGTTAATAAGACCGGTTTTCGGCCTAAATTCACTTTGGATGAAAATGTTCAAAATTAGTTCCTGTAGTATCTACTAAAAATACTAAGTCGATTCCATCCCAACGGACCACTCCTCCTCACCTAGTGTCTCCCAACCACCGCTTGAAGTAGTGAAAATACCAGCGCCTAATAATAGCATTTTTGAATACATTCGTCACTGGCAAATTAATATCATCTTAATAACATACTACTAAGTCTGTTTTAACTATTTTTACTATTATTTATCACTTTTTACGTTTTTAACCCTTTGAGGAGAGTGTGGGGAGTGAAAAGACAAGCGGTTTATTTACAACACAGGCCTACAGAAAACGCGCACTTTTATTTTACTTGTTTGATATGCATGATTTTAGATGCATTTTTGTCACGAATCAGTGGTCAGTTTTGCTCTACCCTCCTTCAGTCTTCTGGAAATTGTTAAATACACTCAGAAAAATGAAGACATTTTAAGAGTGATTGGCTCTGCGCATGCGATATATGATTTCGGAGTATTTTTGCCTCTGCACTTCCCACGCAACGCACATAAAGGATTATCTTCAGCACAAACCAGACCCTCTGAGAAAAAAGTCAGTCATATAGGTCCATTAACATTATTTCCCGGCCCTACCGGCAGTTCATCTCACGCCTTAACCCTGTCAGACGTGTCAGCGCGGCCAGAGGTCAGAGCATAGCGTGTAATGCGCGTCCCACACGATGCATATACAGGGTGACTTCGAAGTTGAGTCATTTATTTAACAGTGAGTAGATCTGATCAAAAGAAATGTTTTTCTCCTTTACCATTTTTCTGGTAAAATTAAAGTAACAAAGTTATAGCCCTTTGGAAGTTTGAGTACCGCCCTGTCTCAATAATAATATCATGTGCTCGTGTTTGGCAACAACGGATATAATCCGCCTTATCGGTTCATCGCATCGGAAACAAAAAAGCGAAAGAATTTGGAACGAAGTTTTTACAATTATTTCATTCAGTTGTATACACTATACAGTCAGTGTCAGTCGGTAGTGAATAGTGGTTTCTGTTGCGTGGCTTAAACGAAATAAAAAATGGCACATGTTTATGCGGATCGGTTTCCCAATCGAGTGCAACCAACCCCTCGTGCCTTTGTTAATGTAGTACAACGGGCTCGTGAATCAGGTGACTTAAGATCTCACAGGGAACCTCACGATCAAATACAGGTCAGCACTGAAATACTTGTCGGGAGGATACTTTATAAAACAAGGTAAAAAAAATTTTTTAATTTTTTTTAATTTTTACACACATATTTTGGTTTATCTTCCTTCTACAATCATTATCTGAAAATTAATGACTCAACTTCAAAGTATATATATGTATATATAACGTTGTGTACAACGTTGTTTACAACGTTTGACACTCCACAACTGGCAAGTGTGTCTCCTACACGATGGGATGAACTTTATAGTCTCGGACGTTCGACGTATGGTGGCGCCAACGTTTATTATCGGTGTTAATGTCGCGCTTGAAACTTTACAACTGAAGGAAAAATTATACAAAATGAACGATGGAACAATTTTTTCGTGCGCCGTAAAATAATGCCAGATCTGCCAAAACTTAAGTGTGTCAGAAGCCCAAGAAACGTCGAACGAAGTATGACCGTTTCTTGTTTGTTTTTTGACGATAACTCCGCCGCTACTGTCATTTTCATAGTAGTAACCTAGCGCCAAATTTTCATCAAAATCCTGATAGTACAATATTTCTCAACTAGTCTTACATTGCAACAGGACATTATAATGAAACAACTGTACGCATTTGATAATTTATAATTTACTAAAATACATATCCTTAGGCCAGCCATCACTCACCTGCGAAACGTACAAAATATTAGCAATATAGCAATATGAAAAATCTGTTGTTATGGCAGTCTATGCTTTGTATGTATACTAATTTAATTCATTCTCCTCAAACGTTAGTTACGGAACATACATTATTATGAATAGGTAGGTATACAAATCAAAATACTTCCCACATACCACTACTTCACCACAATCACAGCAAACAAGTAAATAATGTTTTTCGCCGCTACTGGTTCTAACATAAAACCATCAAATACATTACATCTCGTGTGAGAGCGTAACGAACCATGCTTCCAACGTTGTAACGTCGTTTGACGCGGGTCAAGTTTACCTACAAGAGCCCGAACGTGCCATGTGGTGAACGTTGGACACATGCAATCCGTCAGCGTAATGGCTATGTGTCCAACGTTGTAAGGCATTCGCTACATCATGTGGGACCGATTTAACACCAAACACCATGCCAGAACAACAGAACTCACCAAGGCCGGCGTCAGGTAGGTATACTTTATCTGAAGTCACTTGAAACACTGTGAAATACCGGGTGCGTTTTATACATATATCTATATTTAACACGCTCTGTTGCTGCAAAAATCGCCAAATTTCGCAGCAAATATCCAAGGCAGTTTCACCGGTCCACGTGGAGTAAAGCACGTCTATGCGTGGACATAGCCAATGAGAAAGCGTGTATTTCAGAGCTCCGAACAAGTGCAGGTGGCTACTGAAAATTGAAACAGTTTAGCCAGTGCCGTGTAGCGGTGAATAAACGTGTTTTCTTTAGTCTGTCCATGTTTTTTCATAGATTTTATTAGTTTGTGTGTTTTTGACTTTTGAATACTCAGTTTACTTGTTGATTTAATTGTGTGTCCTAAATATGGCTCTTTGGAGACCTTGGGAAAATGCTCCAAGCCACGAGGAGATGGTTGATGAACCTGTGCAGGCAGAATTCTTTCATAAAGATTTAGAGGAACAGACCCAAAGAGTAATCCTAAATATGTATGATTGTCTGAAAAACGAAAATCCAGATTCCTCGCAAAATCAAATTTTAAACAGAATTTGTATCCTGACAAAAATCAGTCGGTCTACCATTTATCGGGTTATAAAAAGGGAAGATGTAGTCAACCATTCCTTCCACAGAAAGCGCATAGGGCAAACATTAAAAAGAATAGACGTGGGTTTTCAGGAAGATATTCGTCGTATAATATACGGATTTTATAAAGAAAATTTGGTGCCCACGTTGGAAATGATACGGGATAAATTAAAAGATTATCCTGAAGATTTTTATAATTACAAATGCTTAGACTCACTGCACTGTATTGTAAAACTGTGTGGTTTTCAATACAAAAAATTAGATAAAAGAATGGTGATTATGGAGTCGTATCGAATCGTTGAATTGCGCCAAGAATTTTTGCACAAAGTTAAAATCTATAGAGAGCAGAAAAGAAATCTGATTTACCTGGATGAAACGTGGTATGATACCCATGATGTTGTGCAGTACGGCTGGGTTGACGACAGCAACAAGTGCATTTTAAATGCACCATGCAACCGTGGAAAACGAATCATTATTCTCCATGCTGGCAGTGAAAATGGATTTATACCTAATGCCTTGCTGTTATCTGCCAAAAATATCAAAGAATCGTGTGCCGACTATCATGAGAACATGACCTCCGACTTATTTGAAAAGTGGATAGAGCAGCAGTTAATACCAAACATTTCCCCAAATTCAGTGATTATTATGGACAATGCGCCATACCATTCCCGACAGAAAAACAAAATTCCGAATACAGGCACAAAAAACAAGACATTATTGATTTTATGAAGGATAAGGGAATGGAAATACCACAAAAATCAACCAAAGCCATATTATTGGATCTTATTAAAAGACAAAAATTTGAAAAAGAGTATGTTGTTGACAATCTGCTTCACCAAAATGACCATGAAGTATTACGTCTACCTCCCTATTACTGCATTTTTAACCCGATTGAGTTGGTCTGGGCTGCTTTAAAAAAAAAGTAAGAAAACATAATCAGACCCCTCAATTGAGTGAATCGCTATTGGCCACAATAAGAGATGCAGTATCTCATATTGCTGCCACAGACCTATGGAAGCAGTGTTCTAGGCATATTATTGAAAAAGAAAATGAATGTTGTGTTTTGCCTCCTGTAAATTCCGTTGTAATTCCTCTACAAGATGACTCTAGCGACAGCTCCGAAGGCGAGGATGATATATAAATACCTATAATGTAAGTCTTTATATACCTTTTTATATACCTACCTGCTATGTAAATATTTGCCTATGTCAAACGTTGGAATTCTGTAATTTTTCCATTTCTTAACTTTCAGTCAACATAAATTAAACTCCCAATATAAGTATTTTTTATCCCAAATCAAAAAAATAAGAAGATAGTAAAATCCATTTATTGTGATATAAAAACATTATTATTATCGTTCTAAATAAATGACCGCACGCCTATGATACGTCATGAAATTACAAAGGACGCGCCGACCAAAGGGTTTTATGCTATTTCAAGTGACTTCAGATAAAGTATACGCGATTTGTTTGCTGAGAATCTTTCCAAGCTTTAAGGAATAAGGTATGGAGACATCTATGATGTATGACATATGTATAATAGGTGTGTAGAATTACCAAGGTTGCGAGCGTATAAATTTACTAACGTCAAAAATTTGATATAAACCCTCCCCATCCCCCTAAAAGCCCAACGTTCACCTCTAAAACGTCAAAAAGCGAAGTTTGGACGATTTTCATTCCGTTTTGTTTGTAGGTCTTTCTCTGCCGCTACTAGACCGATTTTCAAAAACTACTTTCGGTAAAGGTTTCATCGAAATCCGACTGGTATTTCTCAATTCATAGGCCGTTGTAAAATTGGCAGACAGACCGACAGACAGTCAGAAAGACCGACGGAAATGAGTGATGTTTTTTCGTGATGTATAGGGACTCATATCCGGAAAAGTGTCTCTACGGCACTACGGCCCTAAGACGCGTTAAAATTTAGAAAGACGATGAATTGCCTAAATAGGATTTAATGCATTTAATTTTTGCCTTTTGTACATGATATCGTCACAACAATTGTTCAAAATGTCTTCCTCCAACCTGAATACACCGATTTAAACGTCGCACATGATTTCGGCGGACTGGACTAAAAATTTGATACTCATTTTGAATGATTTCAAATGAGAGCAAGACTTAATTGGACGAATTACAGCAGCATTTGAAATCATTCAAAACGAGTATCAAATTTTTAGTCAAGTCCGCCGAAATCATGTGCGACGTTTAAATCGGTGTATTCAGGTTAGAGGAAGACATTTTGACCAAATTCTTGTGATAATATCATGTACAAAAGGCAAACATTAAATGCATTAAATCCTATTTAGGCAATTCCTCGTCTTTTTAAATTTTAACGCGTCTTAGGGCTGTAGTTCCGTAGTGACACTTTTCTGGATATGGGTCCCTATACTCAAATGTTTTCTACTGATACACTGAATAATAATAAAGTTTGATCCCATAGTTCTGAAACACCCTGTATAATTATTTTTGTCTAACTGCAAAATAAACTGGACTTTAGAAATATTTTCAATATAATTTTATTCAAGCAACTTTATTTTATAACAGGGTACCAAAAACAGCGAAAACCCAACTTTTGAAAACCTCTCAAAACAGAAAAAAGTCCAAACTAGAAAGATCTTGAATTTAAAAAGAAATGCAAATTTCTAAATTATTAGGAAACTAGGGTTCCATGATGTTTTTCGTTAAAACAGTCCAAACACATCGTCACAATCGTCGCAGTAGGTCATCATTCTCTTAGCTTTGGCTCTTGCTTCTTTTGACCTTCTTTCTCTTTGTAATTTATCGTGACCGGAAGTTCAGCGTTTTCCATTGTTCCTAGCATTACTTTAATTATTTTTTTTTGTGTAGCTTTTTTATTTGTGATCAATATGCTGTCATATACATATGTTTTATGTTTTTCTATTGTTTTTTATTATTTTTAGTCATGTACCACCGGTGGTACACGACCTCTCTGAACAACAAATATAAGTCACAGCCGTCGTGTACTACCGGTGGTACATGGCTTAAAACAATGTAACACAATCATGTTACACAAAAAATATTACGGCTGTGATTTAACACACATCCGAAATCGGCTACGTCGCGAACGTGTTAAAAATTCTATAACAATTCGTAAAAATACAAATTTTCATAGAAGATAAACACCGCCAGTCTTTTTTTGTTCGTTCCTGCACGAAAATCGGTGAAATAGAGTTAGTAGTTCGTTATTAAGGATATATTAGCTTGCCAGGGACGAATGTTTCCAAATATGCTGGTATTAGGTGATGGAATTTTTACTATTTTAAGGCGTGGTTGGGAGGCAAGAAGGGATAGAGGTGGTTTTTTAGGGTGGAATCGACTTCGTTTTTTAGTATATACTACAGGAACTGATTTTGAACAGTTTCATCAAAATTAATTTAGGCAAAAAACCCACCTTATTAACGCTCCTCCTTTTGGGAGAAGTAAACAATCTTGTGTTTTGGAATCTAACAGTGATAACTTCAAGCATTAATCATCAACAAAGAATGTGACTGGGCAGTATTCAAAAAGCCAAACCAAATAAATAGTAAGAATTTTTCTTCAATTACCGCAAATTGACTTATTTCAAGCGTAGTTGTTACTGAAAAGGAACGTCCCAACTTTCAGGACACCTTGTATAGTTGTAAGAATGAGTGCTTGGGGACTACAGGGTACGTACGTGCATTTTCCCACAAGATATGTAGACCACTGGTGATACTCACATAAGGAGAGCTCCAGGAGCAGCAAAATCCATAAAAGAGGGTCTGTCAGTGCCATAAATAGGTGGGGACTGGAAGCCAACAACTGGTTTGGCTACATTAGGATGGACATAACAGTCTTTTAACATCCAAAGTGTAAAATTTTTGAAGCTTTCCTGAAGTTCTCTGTGGAGCACATATGCTATTTGCTGATCTACAAGCACAAATGTTCAACAGTTTCTCATATACGTATATTGAAAATATGGGAATTTCCAAAAAAAAAAGAATCTTAACAAATTTATTTGAATGGCATGTCCCATATTTTATTGCATATCCAGATCGATCCTTACAGAAGAAGATTATATGACACATTTTTGGGTGCATTTTATAAAGAAAACTTCATATTGATGTATGTCCTGAACATCTTAACTTTGAGATACAGGGCGGTAAAGTTTTTGTTGACAGATATTGAATTATTGGTATTAAACATTATTCTTGAAACATCCCAGTATTTCTAAGCAAATTTGATTGATGCACGGTTTTTGCTTAAAACCGTTTCTCTACATGAGGATATTTTTATATTGACGATATTGTTATGATCATGGAGAGAAACGGTTTTTTTAAGCGAAATCCGAGAATCGCGCATTGAAAAAAATTAAGGGTTCAATTTGCCCGGAATTGCTTAGGGATTAGAAGAATATTTATTTTAACATCAGTAACGTATCATCGATGTCTGCCAAAATAGGCAGGTGAAGTCTCGTACGAACGTGACTGGTGAAAGTTAAAAAAAACGTAGAAGCGCCCTTGGATGCATAGTACATATATGCCAAATTTGATTAAAATATAAGTGATTTTACACATATTGATAATAAATGAATTATTTTGAAAACTTTGTTATAGCTTTTGATGATTAGTTATTGGTTTATAAGAGACTCAATGTATAAAAACTCTTAATATAGGCAACCCACCACTCCCCATTTTAAAAGATAGAGAACATTATATTTTCGGTCTATAGACTAATCTTAAACGACTTAAAAACGATTTAGCATCATTTCGATTAAAAAATCAAACACGGCGCCCAGGCGCCATATTGAAATCTTCAAATGTCGTTTTCATCAGCAACCCGAATTTCAACTTACTATATTGACTTTCAAGACAATACATGGGTAGGGGACATTAAAGAAAAGAAACATTTTCTTTAGGAACTTAGACCACGTTTGTGGGTTTTCGAAGGTCTTCTTAAAAAATGCCTTATCTTTTCACCTGATTGGTCAAGCCACACCTTTATGTCAGTATCTTCCAAAGTGATCCCTTCCAAAATCGCTTCAAGCAGGATATCAGTAATATTCTGTCCTCTTATAGCATGGTGCATCCGAAACGTCAAGGCTTGTGTAAAATTTTCCTCAAAATGCAAGCAGGCCCACGCGTCACCATTTTCTACTGCTCCTCTACAGCTATCCACATTTGAATAGTACCCTAAATTTACGCTGTCTGATGTCTCGAGGTACTCCAAATAGCGACAGCTTAGACTTTCTGCTTCGTCGATGTGAGTTATATTGTTTTTTACCTGAAATAAATATAAATAGCGTTAAGTAGATCAATTCTATATTTTCAAAGAAAGGGGATGAGTCAAATCGTTCCTAAAGGCGAAATCGAATCGTTATTAGGTAGGTTCACCTAGGTAAGATAAATCTTCGACATCTGCATATCAAAGTTTATGAATATAAAGCAAATCTATAATATTTCTGTTTCCGTTGTAGATGTATGGAAATATGAGTGACTTACTATGTCTAACAGGTGCATAATATCACTAAGATCAGCAGCTTTTTAATAATAGAAGGTCTTTCACTGACAACAAATATGCATGAGTATACTCACCGAGCATACCAACTTATGAGTACAGTGTGTTTCTGTTGGACTCACGTACTCTACCTCATTGTTAGCGATGGCTAAAGGCAGATCTCTTGGTTCGTTACCAATGCAGTAGCAGAACAGTACTACCTGGATTACTGGTAGGAGAAAAATGAAGAGCAGCGCCTGGAAGTTCCTGACTAGGCGCAATAGGTTCCTGAACATTATTGCCTTGAAACTCCTAGGATTAGTGAAGTGCCTCACGTCGTAGAGGAAGTTACCGCAACACCCGTAATCCTGTTGAAGAAAGCACTATATTATAAATTTACGTTTTGCTCCGCGGTTTCACTTGTGGAACGTGGAGGTGGCGCCTCTATTAAAGTAACAAAGTCTCCTAAGCATGCATGTTGTCTGTCAATGCCATCGAAGATGCAAAACGTCGCGTTACTTAAATATAATGTTTTGAGTTAAAAAAGACGTGTCTGTATCACTTGACGGTCACAGGTTGAGTGGGGCGATGGCTGACCGCGGTTGCCGGCTTGACGTTGATGTTGAAGATTTTGATACTTGCCACGATAGTTGATTGAAAATTGATCGCGAGTTCGCGGATAAAACCATGCCTATAACCTTCCTAGAGTATCAATTAGTTAGTGCACACATTTTTGCGATTCTCCATATTGTGGTATAGATGTAATGTTGGTAGGCTAGATAGACAGTAGATAAGATACCAGAGCACGCAGCATTAGAGTTTGCTAGATAACAGATAAATGCATTTTAAGCACCTAGCAGCATTAAAGATCGTATAACAAATAACCCAGTAACTACTTATTCACAGTATTATAGTTGAAGTAAAACAAAACATCAAATAAAACGAAATCAAGACGTTCACGCTAAGAAAAAGAATGTGCAGTAAATGCGTAATGCTAATGTCCTATTTATATACCCTTACTCATTTCCGTCGGATCAGCAACTGAACGCTTCCACACCATCCACCTCATGTCAAATTCCATCAAGCCGTTTGGGCTGTACACCGTGATATTAACATTTTAAAGTTTGTTTTCGGGATAAAAGGTAGCCTATGTGCTATTTCAGACTATAATCTATCTCTGTACCTCTCATTTATAAGAATATTAGGGATAAAATAAAAAATATTTCTAAAAACAACCTTTTTTTAATCAGAATCCAATTCGATTACCTGGCAAATGCACATTTTCTCAAAAAGGAAACAAATGGGCATCAAACTCAGAGAGATGTACTGGATGTAGAAAATCTAAACTGTCATTGGACAACAAGCTATTAATCTAGGATGCTTTGTTGAAAGCAATTTGAACGTATGGCATCTAGTTCAGTGGCGGATTTAGAGGGGGGGGGGGGTAATCTAACACCATTGTGTTACTTTCTGACACAACATGGCGACAGGTATCCTTTGGTATTCCAAATACTACCCTCTTTGACATCACATAGGTTTACAGCGCAAGTCTCACGATTTATGCGTATACAAGGTGTAAAGTTAGTAGTGGATCAACAGAAGTCAGGTGATAGACGTCCTCAAAACCTATCGAATGAACCCCTATATGTGTGGTCCGAAATTTTATAGTTCAGGAGATATTTGCAATTTTGTGAAATTTCGAAAAAAAAAACGGGAAAATGAACTTTCAATCACAATGACAACTAAACCATTAGGTTTGGAGCTGTGATTTCTTTTGAGATGAGCTAAATGGTTAGTTTTAGCAATGGTTATGTATATTTAACAGAGCTAATTAGAAATCAACACAAAAAATCTTAAATTCATTTGTTTTGTAAAAAATCTCTTCCATTTCTCAACTTTGGAGGGCGGTAAAAAACTGAGGCTGTATTTCATTATTTATTTTACTGTAAAAACTATTTCAATCCATGTAGAATAAACCCTGAAAATTTCAGCTTGCTACGATGAGTGTATCATGTCACATTCGTTGTTGTGATGCGATAAACGTAAGAAACGCAATAGAATCCTTACCAGCTACAAGTACGGAACCTATTGTGTTTAACCGCTCTTTATGGCGATTTACCGACAAATGTGGAAGATAATTTATTTTATTTAACTTTTAAAGAACATGTTCGAAATGGCCTCCATTATTTTCTATACACAAGCGGCACCTTCTAACAAAAAGGTTCCTTTAGTCTTTGAAATGAACTGGCGTTTTCCATAATTTTTATTTTTGCTTGATCAATTTTCTGGCGCAGTTGGTTGGCATTTGTATATTCAGATGTATAGATTATCCCCTCATAAAACCTCCATATAAAAAATCTATAGGATTTAAATCGGGTGACCTTGGAGGCCAACGTATGTGGCCACCTCTACCTATCCAACGTCAGGAAAGGCTCTCTCTAAGTCTGAGTAATGCCGTACATCCCGTGTGAAGTGGCATGAGGCACCATCGCATTGAAAATACATGCGGTTTAGAACGTCCAAAGGTACATCCTCTAGCAGCTCATGCAAACTGCTTTGTAGAAAAGTAAGATATGACTGACCATTCAGCCTAGCGGGCAAGTCATATGGTCCAATAAATTTTGTTGAGTACTCCAGCCCATAAATTAACGCCGAACTGACGTTGAAAGCTGTGTCGGCGAATAGCGTGTGGATTTTCCACGCTCTATGAATGGAAATTATGCACGTTGAATATTCCATCTCGGTTAAAGTTGGATTCATCTGTCCGCAAGATGCTGTCGAAACAAGTTTCATCCTCTTCGCACCTTCTCAAGATATTCTCACAAAATTCAACCCGTCGTTGTGCATAGTGGCTTGGAAGCAATTCTTGTACTTTTTGTACATGGTAAGAATGCATGTTCTCTGAGCGTAGTGCACTGAAGTACGGTGGTTTGGCAATGGTTCTGGTGCTGTATAGAGCGATCTCTCTTGGCTGCTACTATTATATCTTCTATTTCTTCTTGGCTTATCTTCCGCGCTCCTAGCTGACGAGTAGTGCCTAGTATGCGGCCCTCCATATAGTCGGGATATACCGCCGGTTGTGGTCCACCTCTTCTAACCACATACTCCCGATATATGCGAGCAGCTGCTCGAGCATTTCCTAGGGCAGCATCATAATAGTGATCCATTTCCAATCTCGCGGAAAATATGACATGATTCTACTCAGACTGCGTGACTTAGTAATTTCGGTCAGACCGAAGATTGAACGCTCCCGCACCTGGAATGCCGAGTTGAATGCACAAGCCCATTAAGCTGATTTGGCTATTTGCTTAAAAAATCCGCCATTTTTATTTTAGAAAATGTTAATATACACAGTATCACTCGCACTGCTAGGACGAAATTAACAGTACCTCATGTGTCAAAATCCATCAAGTCGTTTGGACTCGTAAAATTCAATTTCTTGTTTACATGTATAGATACCCCCCTGCGTCAAACATACAGATTCTTTAAGCAGAAATTTTCAGGGTTTATTATTCTACATGGATTGAAATAGTTTTTACAATGAAATGAATAATGAAATACAACCACAATATTTTTTACCGCCCGCCAAAGTTGAAGGATGGGAGAGATTTTTCACAAAAAAATGAATTTAAGATTTTTTGCGTTGATTTCTAATTAGCTCTGTTAAACAGTGGCATAACTATTGCTAAAACTAACCATTTAACTCATCTCAAAAAAAAATAATCACAGAACTAAACCTAATGGTTTAGTTGTAATTGCGATTGAAAGTTCATTATCCTGTTTTTTCGAAATTTCACAAAATAGCAAATATCTCCTGAACTATAAAATTTCGGACCACATATATAAGGATCAATTCGATAGGTTTTGAGGTCTTCTATCACCTGACTTCCGTTGATCCACTACTAACTTTACACGAGTATTGTGACTTGTGACAAATCTGACTAAAGTATTAGCTGTATAGATTGCACTTAAAAAGTGTTCTGTTTGTTGCTCAATACTAATTTGAAAAGTTTGTAAAGCTTGACTGATCTTGTAAGGGGTTGGAGTTTCAGCGAAGCACTATGTTAGATGAATGCCTAAATTTCAAATATATATTTATGAGATTTGTTTAGCGGTACGCCTGTGGCCTGACCAGAAACTGCGCCAATCGATGCTCAGTCAATACCACACGTCCCGCATCTCTTCCCGCGTATGTGTCTATTTATGTTGCTATATTGAATTCGTTTAAATCACAGAGCTTCTGCACTACACGTGAATATACAGGGTGTTTCAGTTTATTGTTGCATAACTTTAGATTCGATAGAACTTTTAAAAGTAATGCATAAAGTCTATATAAACATGGGTCGAAAAATGCGGGGCTTCCGAAATATAGGGTGTTTATATTTACTTTCTAAATAGTTTTTTTAATATTTCGAACAATATTTTATGTATAATAGTGAAAATTGGTATACAAGGGTTTTTTGGTACGACAAAACGAACCACGGGCATAGTTTTACTGTACTCTCTATGTCCTGTAGTGTATTAAACTGACCGAAAATTTTTCTTAGTGCAATTTTTTGCTTTTTGAATAAAAAAACTGATTCTTCGCACTTTTCAACATAAAAAAGCTCTCCTGTGAGTTTTTGTTATAGTTAGCCGTTTTTGAGATATTTCGATTTTTAAGGTTCGATGCATTTTTAATTATTTGTGGGAAAATAATATTTTTTTTACATTTTCGATTTGGGCATTATTAGTAATTAAGATGATCGTTTAGATTGTGTTTTTAAACCCACCAATAATTCCTAACTCCAAATAAACACAAAAAACAGAATATTAATTTGTTTAATTTTCCAATATTATTTTTAACAAATTAAATTGATTATTTACAACTAAAATGCTATTGGATAGTTAGGAAAAACATACAAAATCTAAAGTAGTTGCTCGAAATGTAAACCCAATTCTTCAATACACAATTCACAGCTACGAATGATTGAACGTGGTATAGCATTATTCAAATAAGGCCTTATTTGATCACATGCATTCCTGATTCTGTCTATTAACATATCTCTTGTGGTTACGGGAGTCTGGTACACTTTTTCTTTTAGAAATCCCCACACAAAGAAATCTAATGGATTTAGGTCAGGGGATCGTGTAGGCCAGGCGACTGATCCTCCACGGCCGATACATCTTTCTGGATAATTTTCGTCCAGCCAGTTTCTAACTATTCTCGAATAATGAGCTGGACAACCATCAAGCTGGAACCAGGCCAATCTTCTTAAATCTAACATAACATCATCCCATATATTTGCATGTTCAGCATTTAAAAATTTCAAGAAGGTCGCAGCATTTAACCTTGCAGGCAAAAGGTAGGGTCCAAATAGTCGATTACGGTAGATACCTATCCACACGTTTACACTAAATTCATGCTGAAAATTTCTTTCCCGCACCGCAAGCGGATTTTCATGCGACCAAATATGTTGATTATGAAAATTTACCACTCCACGTCTAGTGAAGCATGACTCATCGGTCCATAAAACGTTACTTAAAAACTCCCTATTATTATCAGTTCTATGAAGAATCTACTGACAAAATGTGATTCTTCGTTCTCCGTCCCCTGGCTGTAGTCCTTGCACAGGTTGCAAATGGTAAGGACGTCTATGGTCATTTCTAAGAACACGGTGAACATGGCTTGCTGAAATTCCCAAGGCACCAGAAACTCTCCTAACACTTGTGGTCGGATCTCTATCAAACTCACGCAGAATCATACGGGTAAATCTGCGCTGACGAACATTTATGTTTTGATCCCTGTGGAGATTTCCAAAACCATGTTCAATTATTTGGCGATGCACTCTTACAAATACTGAGCGAGTGGGATGTCGTCTGTTTGGAAATCTTCGTGCATATTCTCTGGCTGCTTCTGCTGCGTTTCCATTTACAAAGCCATACACAAAATGAATATCCGCTAACTCTTGATTGGAGAATAAAAATGGCATATTTATAAAACTTACAAAAAAAAACAGTTAAAAGAAACTAAATTTCGTGCATTCACAATTGCAAAGAAACGTTTCAGGTTTCAACAGACAACAAAAGTAACTGTCAACTAATTGACGTTTAACCTTATTCTGCTTTCAATTTCAAAAATATCTGCAGGCACAGCCTACTTATAAAAATTATCGAGATACTGACTTTTTAACGTTATTTTATCATAAATAATTAAAAATTCATCGAACCTTAAAAATAAAAATATCGCAAAAACGGCTAACTATAACGAAAATTCACAAGAGAGATTTTTTATGTTGAAAAGTGCGAAGAATCAGTTTTTTTATTCAAAAAGCAAAAAATTGCACTAAGACAAAATTTTCGGTCATTTTAATACACTACAGGTACAGTAAAGAGCGCCCTCTAGCTGCTACAGTAAAAATATGCCCATGGTTCGTTTTGTCGTACCAAAAAACCCTTGTATACCAATTTTCACTGTTATACATCAAATATTGTTCGAAATATTTAAAAAAAACTATTTTAGAAAGTAAACTTATGCAAGCTGTATTTCGGAAGCCACGTATTTTTCGACCCATGTTTATATAGACTTTATGCATTAATTTTAAAAGTTCTATCGAATCTTAAAGTTATGCAACAATAAACTAAAACACCCTGTATACAGCCCTGTATCCACGTGCTTGTTTCTTCCAAACATACATTATCAAAATAATTACGATCAAACAAATATAGTTTTTTCCAAAGATTTCGTCCATTTTTACATGCGATCAACACCGATTCGAAAACTGAGAAAACAACAACTAAGCCGTAAATCTAAGTTCGACAACGAAAGTCTGAAAAATAACTGTAACATCTATATTGAATTTCAAAAAATAATTGACTATACCTATTGATATTTTTATTACCTGCTGATATAATAGTGCTTGATTGTGTTAAGTATTTGCACCATTTACTTGATTTGTTTAATGGGCAGTTCAGAGTCTTAGCACACACTAGTAGACCTCGTTGCGCAACTTGTCTATAGGCAGTCTAGAGACGGTCTCAAGACACGATCTATAGGTGGTCTATAGACATCCTTCTTTGTCTCGTTTAGCGTCTATACGATAATGTGAATTTTTCGGTTTCATATTCGTTTTTGCCGTCAAAGACATTGTATTGTGTGGAATGGACTGGGATAATATGTCTCGGTGTCCCTCAGAATGTTTTTTTTCGATTAACAGAACAGTTTTTTATGTTTTAATCTTTAATACTATTACACTAGTTAATTATAAATGCCACGTACTTATTTTGTTCTCATATAATAAAATATTGCCTTTCTGAGGATATCTGCTCATTTTCCATGTTTTTTTTTGTCAAGCTGGACTTGACCAGATAGAACACACTGGATTTAAGGAGCAATATTAGGATGAATTCTAGAAGTTCCTCTGAGGTTGAAAAATGACCAGCCCCAAATATCGAAATCCTGAATCCGCCCTTGATCTAGTTGTGAGGCACATAGAGCGACAGGAGTATTGCCATCCTACAGCGGTTGCAGAACAAGGTCCAGAAAACGATATTCGATGCACCATACTACGGCAGTAAGGCCAGAACACTTACCGAGCATTTCTATGTCATTCCAAGTTTTAAGGGCAAATGTACGGAGAAATCTATTATATTATGTGACATGGATCTAACAGGTGCGCAGAACTACCGAGGTTGAGAGCGTACAAGCATACTAAGATCAAAACAAATTGAGATCTCCTACCCCCCAATCATTTGCCCCAAATTTCGTCAAAAATGCAAAAAATACTCTAAAACGTCAAAAAACGCAGTTTGAGCGATGTTTTTTTATTATTGGCTTTTTTCTACGTCGCCACTGATAAATTTTCACTGCAAAGCTCTTTCGTCCTTGTCATATTAGTAACCTTTCATTAAAATCCGACCTGTACTTGCCAAGTCATATACGTGCCAAGGATAATGATAGATTATCCATAAAACATAATATCGCATTTTCTAAGTTTTTCTCGATTACAATACTTCATCTGCAGTAGTAGTGGCAAGTAAAAATTGGTCGATAATGAAAAGAACATGATCTTGATAATATTTGTTTTCCGATTGTAAATATGTCGTTTTATACTTATTAAATTTGAATGAAGGTCCTTCGTCTCAATTTTTCAAATAAAAGCGTGTTACACCATTTTAACCTCTTGCTGTTAGAATGTAACAAACTTCAGCGTACCTTATCTTTTGAACCTTGACCTTCGGAAACTCCTTTTGAAGACGCTTTCTTTTCAATATGCTTATCTTTAGGTGTAGCTTCAACGGTTTGTTGCTCTCTAGCTAGCTTTAGGAAAACATCTTCTAGATGCCTACAAGCATATGCTGACAGCAGTTGAGCTGGCGAATCTTCAGCTATAAGCTGCCCATCTCTCATGAGACCAATCTGAAATTAATTCATATTCTATTTCTTTTGTATCTAGATTTTGGCCAACATTCGATCAGTTTAGAACCTTTCACCTAGGTACGTGATCACAACAGTATCACCTTCGCTATATTGCTCATTAATTAACGTATTCCACTAGAAGATAACCAACTTAAAGCTGTGTTTCCACATCTGAAAACATATCCGAGATAAAATGAGATACCGTAGCATCATCTACAGGGTGTTTTTTATATGAACCGACAAAAAAATGTGGGTAATTGGGGACGCTATTTGATGATTTTTGGAGGACACCGTAATGCTACAAGGGCTACGGTTTCCGAGATATGATTTTTTTTGCTGAATAATGGCGCGGAGCTATCGTGATAACTTTTTTGTTTGTCGAGATAATAACACAAGATAAATTCGTGTCGATTCTATATAGCATACTGAGTCAGACGAGATGAATGGTTTGTACAAAGCTTCTCGATAAAATGACTTATAACCTTCCAAAGTCGTAAAAAGGCGCAGAGTGAATGAACAATTTTAAATTCAAAATTCGAGTACAAAAAACCTGTACCTTTCTTTAAAATTAGTTTCATTTAAAAAAGTTCTGTGGTTGTTGCCTTTACAACGAGATACTAGACATGATAGAAATAAGATGTTTTGCGGTCGATAGACGAGAAAACAACTGATTAGGTTCAGGGATAAAGAATTTATTTTTTCAATGTTTCACGTTCTAGTAGATGTTAACATATAAGGTATTTTCAAAATGACTGCCTTCATTTCTGAGACATGCTCGATATCTTGTTCGTATTTCGACAGTTGTTGTGTGTAGCAGGATCTCTTCCTTCATCTGACGAAAGACAGCTTCAATCCTTTAAATTAGCACCTCACTGTTGGGTACCTCTGTCGCTCGGCCCCAGCCGTAAAAGTCCAAAGTTGTCAGGTCTGGAGACCGTGGTGGCCAAGATATAGGATCACCGCAACCAATCCAGGAGTTTGGAAACGCATTGTCCAGAAACTGTCGAACGGGTTGGACGTAATGTGCGGGGCAGCCATCATGTTGGAAAATAATTGGTGCATCGGGTAAAATTGTAGCAGCAGCAACTCCAGGTAATTTTCGCCATTTAGCCGGTCTGGCAAAAAATAAGGTCCTATCAGAGTCCGTCCAATAACAAACACGTTGACGCTGAATCGTCTTTGAAATGAGCACTTTTTTCTCCCGGTCCCGGTCCCGGTCTGCCCAATAGTGTAGATTGTGCAAATTCACGATTCCGTCATGGTTCAAAAAGCTACTGTCGTCCACGTCCGTGTGAAGAATGAATCTGCAGAACTCCTGCCTTCTCGTACTGCCACCTTCGTCCAGACGTGTAACATAAATATGCATACGGTTAGCACAACTGCACATGTATCAAACTTCATAAGGGCTAATGTTTATGACCATAGACTATCTTATGACTATGACTTTGACAAGCGGTATACCCGTGTTCATAAGAAATAAGGATTTCAACTCTTATGCTTGTGACTGTGATTATTAGAATGATCATTAAAATGTTGCATAAACCTGACAAAATTACATTACCTTGTACAGGACAATAATGAAATGGATATTTCCTGTTTGCCTGTAACACAGACCAGACTTTTTCACCGACCCAGCAAGCCTTTCAGCCACAACCCGAATAGGACCCGGTAGGATCCGCATCATATGCTCTTAGGATTTGCTCATCAGCAGTCACAATGAGCTGTCTCTTTCAGTCGCCGTTATATTGTTGCGAAGGTCCCATGGTGAGGCAACTGCCGATCAGGGTATCGCTGCTGGTAAAGTCTTTGAGCTTCATGTGAATTGCTGTTAGCACTCCATAAGGCAGCAACATATCAGCATATTCCTGGTTACTGAACCTCGGCATTATGACAATAATGAAATTGATAATGACGGTGAAAACACTAACAATAACAAAAACAGAGACAACAAAATCAAATGCAAATACACGTCTGGTATGAGAGATAATAAAAGCTCGCTATGAGATGATGACGATCGTAATTGAAATATAATTATCAGGTAAGCTCAGGAATTCAACACCGGCAAGTTTATCTGAAATTAATGAGCTGTGATACCCGCATAGAAGGTACTCCTAAACTGTGTACTGCTTGGCCCTTGCTAACTTCATTTCTCAACAAGTGGACGCAGTCATTTCGAAAAGACTGATTGAAATTACATGAAAATGTATAAATCGCGCAAAAAATCATTAGCTCGACACACTGTTTCCTGTAAATCTGACCACTAAACAAATTATTTCTATGATGTGAGGCATGTGGATTTCAATAAATAAATAAATAAATAAATAAATAAATAAATATCATTGGAAAGGCAAAGAAACACGAAACTTTTTTGGATAAAACTAAGTATCGCCAGAGGTATAGTTTTTTGAATTTAAGGTCATAAGTCATTTTATCGAGAAGCTTTGTACAAACCATTGATCTAATCTGATTGAGTATACTATAAAAAATCGACTCGAATTTGTCTTGTGTTATTATCTTGACAAACAAAAAAGTTATAATAATAGTTCTGCGCCATTGTAGGTAATTCAACAAAAAAAAAAAACGAAAAAAACCATATCTCGGAAACCGTAGCCCTTAGAGTATTACGGTTTCCACCAAAAATCATCAAATAGCGTCCCCAACTACCCATACTTTTTTGTCATTCATGTAAGAAACACCCTGTATAAGAATCTGTTCCAGCTGTTACTTTATTTGCTATACGGTGATGGCCAAATTTGGCTGACGGGCACGAGTTCAATGTGTACAAGAGAGAAGTGTGTAAAGCACATAATTATGCTAGAAAGAGATAGAACCCGGTTGGATAGCGAAGCTCACCGGCACATCGCCTAGCAAACGGTGACGCAGAAGGTCGTGCAATCTGCCGCGTTGCCAATATCTCATACCAGTTCCTTGAGTGCGGCGGCATTTTTGTCAAGTTGACACAATTTTTTGCTCTGAGATTTATTTTGTGATAATCCAGGATAAAGGCATAAAGTAAAATGGAAGTAGATCCTGGCGATAAGCAGGATGCAACTCCTAGCTGCCGTAATATTGGCGAGAGTCAAGGTGCCCTGCCAGATCGAGATAGTCCACCCGACAAGGATGCGTTCCTCAGCCAAGCTTATTAAAAAGTTGTTACTTCAAATAGGCGAGTTGCAGAGGCAAATTAATAACTTGCTGAAGAAAAGTGAACTGCAAAAGAAACGTCAATTTGACAGCGACAGCGAAAATTACACAACTAACGAAATGGAAATAGCAAACATGCAAGAAGAATGCTTTACTTTAAAGTATCGAAAAAACACAGGTCCAAGAAAGGCTCCAGCATGTTTCCACCACTGCCAAGTAAGCCTAGCCAGCTTCCTACTTTAGCTTAATCTCCTTTATCCCAAACAAACCTTTTTACCACTCAAACTCCAACATCTGCTACTGACTCTAGTCAAAATACAAATTCAGAACCAAGGCCTCCAGCTTCGAGCACTACACTTTCGAGACTACCTGCAGCAAAGGGTTACGCCGATAGTACAGCGTGAACCAGGGAGTAGTAGTAGTAGTAGAAAGATTTATTTAGCACATTTGGCTACATAAACAGAACAATTGTAAACAACTTAGAACTAGTAAATTCAAGCCATATGGTGTATGATGTAAATGCTGGGCAACCTATAATTGTAGATATAACAAGTGATTTCTCAATTTTACTTTAAATTTTGTCAAAGTTTTCTGGTCTTTTATCTCCGAGTATAATGTATTATATTCAATCAACCCTTGATGGAATACAGATTTGTAGCATATGTTATATTTTTTGGTCATTAAATGGAAGTCATCTTTATTTCTGGTATTATGTAAATGATAGTCGACATTTGATGATGTTAAATTAGTTAGACTTGATGGAAATATATTATTTTTTACTTTATAAATGAATATCATTAAAAGATATTTGATAACATTTTTTACATTGAGCCATTTTAATTTGCTAAGCATTTGCCTAATTGGAGTATATTTATCTTTATTTAGTATTATTCTCATGCACTTATTTTGTAAAATTTGCAGTCTTTCAAAAATGGAATTATCTGCTAAATATAGAATAGTCGAACAGTACAAGAAATTTGGAAGAATGATGGTATTATAGATAATTTTTCTGCTATATGAACTCAGACATCCAGAAACTCTCGATAAATATCCCACTTTACTACTAATCTTATTTATAACTTTTCCATAATGAATATCAAAAATTAATCGAGAGTCAACAAAAACTCCCAGGTATTTAAAATTTTCTACGAATTCAATTTCTTCACCATCAATATTCAGTTGAACATTTGTACATTGTTTTTTTCCGATTAACAAGGTTTTCGTTTTACTTGCATTTAATTTTATTCTGTTAGATGCTAACCATTTTGAGACAAGCTTCAAGTCTTCATTTATATAAGAGATACCAGACTGAATATTTTTAGTACTTATATAAATCATAGTGTCATCGGCGAAAATTTGAATTTTGCATTTTTTGACTATGGCAGGTAAATCATTTATGTATAAAATAAAAATAAGTGGTCCCAGGATACTGCCCTGTGGAACACCCAACGTATTTTCAATTTTTGATGAAATATTGTCATTAACTTTTGTAAGTGCATCCTTTTAGACCAATAATTTCTAAACCAATCTAAAACACTTCCTGTTATACCATATGCCTTCAATTTACCTAACAAAATATCTCTATCAATCGTTTCAAATGCCCTCTTCAAATCCAAACTTCTTCTGAGTCTATGGCTCTTCTCCAATTCTCAGTTACCAACTGGAAAGCTGTTTCTGTGGAATATTTTTTTCGAAAGCCTGCTTGCGCCTCCACTAAAATTTTGTTTTCTTCTATAAACTGGTGTTATTGTAGAGCATTTCAAATTTTCAGGGAAAGAACTGCTTCTCAGTGAACAATTGATCCAATTTAATACAGGATATCCCAAAATTTCGAAACAGTTTTTCAGCACGTTTTTA